GGGTGACGAGGAAACAGCCAGAAAGACAAAAGCGACGGCTGTTAGCAAGGAGGGAGAGGAGCAACCAGGCTGTCAGCAAAGAGGGAGAGGAGCAACCACCTCCGAGGAGCCTGGGTCCAGCTCCATCCGCAGAGCCCACCGGACCGGTTTAGCACAGCGAGGTCCAACCAGAGGGTGTGGTTCCCCACTCCTTCCCCCTGGGGCTCTGGCTCCAGGAGCAGCCAGACAACTCTAGGAAGGGTTGGCTCTCCCTCTGCCTCCCCACTGCCAACCACACAGCCCTTTTCATCCCCGCCTTGCGCTGCCTCTGGCATCCATCGGCCCCTTCAATGCGCAGATTCAACCCACCTGACAGAAGAAAACCAGGCTAGCAAGTTGGATCGGTCCAGGGAGGTATCTGAGGAGTGCCAGAATTGATGCAAAATAAGCGTCAAGAGCGTGTGACCAAGAATGGGGAGGGGAGGAAGCAAAGCACATCCCCAGCACAAGCCTGCTGGATCACTTCATCACATATTATGAAACGGAAACCTCAGGGTTTAATTTCAGACCCAACAGAATCAGTCTCACCTGTCCCCCAAAACTCCTTCTAGTCCCATCCTTTGTGCCAAAATGAGCGCTTGGCTATCCAACATACATCCGAAGGAAAAAAAAAGGCGGGGTGGGGGGTATTAAAACCTGAACCAACACCCTGACCTGGTTCACAGCCTGGGGCTCTGTGAGTGGTTTTGGTGACCCACGAGAGAGGGGAGCGGTGGTGAGGTGCTGTGGAAGGCAGGATTCCCTCTTTGGCAGCAGCAGCGACCTACCCTAGCTTAAACTTCATGAAACTACTGCCTCTGGCTGAGGTTCCCCAGTGGCCTGAGCTGATCTTAGCTGCTGAGTCCTGCAGCCAGTCCTTCCATCTGCCACCAACCACATATTCCTTGCCCCCCCCGCACTGCTCCCAGTCATACAGCTACAGGGCAAGTTGATTCAGCTGTCTGATGTGGTAGAAACCTTTCCTCCTCTTTCCCTCTGCCACCCAAAATAGTCTGAAGGCTGATTTGGCAGAAGACTCCTCTCGTTGCCATGTGATTTCCAGATCCAACCCAAGGGAAGGAGGAAAGAATGGGAGAAAGGGAGAGGACAGGCTGGCCATCTTGGCAATAGCTCACCACCAGACTGGCTTCACTGAAGACTACAACCCACCCACCCCCCCTCCTAGTTTTTGAAGATCCCACCCTAGGTTTTCACTCCACCGCCTCCTCCATTACAGGACCACAATTGTTGTAGGTCTGCATTGCAAATCAGATCAGTTCATTGAGAGAAAACATTGTTTTTAACCCCGACCACTCCACTGGGCTGCCACACATCAGAGGGAGCCTGCAGGCAAAGTCTGAGGTCAGGGACAGGAACTCCTTTATTAGCACTGAAGACAACAAATGAGGAATTACAGTCTAAAACACTGCAGTATGTTTCAGACCACTGGAAAGGTTTGTATTTGAACGAAGAAAGTCTACCCTCTGAGACAGAAGGTGATTACTTGAAAGAGTCAGTGAAATAAGACTTGTCAGCATTTTTTTGTGAAATGGAACTGCAGACAAACTAGTTTACTGTGTTCTCCCTCTTATGCTGTTTAGTCTTAACAATAGGACGTAAGTACAGTACTTTGATACAAGACTACTTATTTACCACTAGGCATGAGCTCCTGAAAAAAGGTAAGTAGAAGTTGATCAGTAGCTTCATCAGATCTGCTGGAGTAACCTTGGCTGGTGCCCGGAGGTTAGAAACCAGTGCTCAGTCTGAGAACTTGGAAAGTTGTATCATGTTACCCCACGAGTGGTGAACACGCAGGTCAAAGTCAGTTCTAACAGACCACAGCAGCAAAGACGTAGTTAGCTCTGTAATTGAGACAGCATGTCCTACCTTTAACTTAACATTCTGTTGAATACTTGGCTGTAACAGTTGAGTTGACACTAAATTCATTAATGTCTTTTGCACAAATTCTTCCCTGAAGGAATGCTTATTTTGGTGTAAAACATCTGACCAGAACAAAGCTCAGTTTTCCTGTTTCAGTCAAAAAAAAAATCAATGAATTACATGAGACATCCCATCAGTCATGCTACTAAAAATATATAGTACCAGTTTATTCAGACAGAGATGAAGATAAATGCATCCATTAAATAAAAATATTATGCTGAAAGAATGTATATATTATGTGCAAAAGCACTTAAGAGTTCAGGAGCACTGAACCTGCACTGACTGGAAGTACAGCAATAACTTAATGCCCTATGTGTGCACAACTACAACAGTACAGTGTCTTCCTTAATAATATTGTGATCAGAACTTGCCTGATTATCCATAACATCCTGAAAGTTTTTTGGTTATGTTTAACAGTATCTTGAGATTTGATTTCCTCTTTGGTCTTCCACAGTACTCTGCAAACCCCGAGATTCAGCTAATCTATATCTTCCAGTCATTATTTTACTTACTAAATCAATTTCTACAAAAAGGAAAGTATTAGTATAATATGAGTACTTCATCTGACACAAGATGATTTAGGTGATGTGATTTTTTTAAGTTGACTAGGACAAGGGCAAGATGGGCATAAAGAAGGCCAAAGACTACACAGGAGGTGAGAAAGAACCCAGCCAAACATACATATATTTTAGCACCATAGGCAAAAGAGTGCTCTGATGTCAAAACAGTTTGAACAAGGAAACAATAAACAGTCAAGGAAAGAGCAAGACTCCAGAGTGACACACAGTTTAACACCTTGGTGATAGGAAGTTAATATAGGCAGTTTATTTTAAGATGCCTTTTTTTTTTTTTAAACACAAAGAAAGCCATGATTGCTGAAAATATGGAAGTACTTATATATTCCAAGCTTTGTGACTCCCTAATCTATCCGTAATAGAGACACCAACATCATTTATCTGGATCTTAATTCTAAACTTAATACTCAATTTTCACAAATGAAAAACAGACACTAAGTAGAAATCAGCTGACTTACATACATATACATTTACTCCTAATAACTCAGATGGCTATATAGAAATTTTAATCCTTATATGATAAAGCATAATTTCACTAGCTGGGTCAAAAGCAGAATCATAAATAATACAATGACTCATCCTGCAAAGCACAAAACCATTCCAACTTCCAGTTAACTTATAAGAAATTGAGGACATTACAACAATAGATGAAATACAATGAAAGCTGGATTTCTTGTCCCCAGCAGTGGACTATACATTAACATGCTCTGTTGCATTAGAAACAGTACATTAATTAGAAGAACAGTGATCTAAAAAAGCACAGTTTAATGTATATTTTGTCATGTATAACAGTGATACATCCTGTCAAACCTATCAGAAATACAATTACTTATGCTCAAATCCTGTAAGAATGGTATCATAAAATCAAAACTGGGAAAAATGTAAGGTATACTAACTTGGAGATCAACTCTACCTGTTGCTGACCAAAACTGCTATTAAGGGAGAAAGTAAAACAAGTGGCACAAAGTAACTTGCCAAAATTATAGGCCTTTGCTGAGAAGAGACTATATGGCGCATAAGGACACATGGGTGAAGAGTTACATTTTTGTTTTTAATTACTCTAGTTTTGAAAGGTACATAAAAATGTACATTGTAAATTTACAGGCATGGATACCGCTTCCTCTGTTTGTGACGCTTAAAAGTCACATCTCATCCAGCATAAAAGTTCCACTTACTACAGCTTTTGTCCACCTGTCCCTGTCCCTGCCCACATCTCATGCAATGCACACAAAAAGTAAGGACATGCTATACGTAGCAAACTGTGAAGTACCATCAGAGTATGGCATCATGGAAGCAATACTGGGAAGTATTTCCTGAGCTTAGGCTCCTGAAAACCTCCTCTGCTCATTCCCCTTCTATTTACACCAGGAATTTGTCTACCCAAACACCTCTGCTGAGTTCAATCACCACAGTTCCCACAAGGAAGAGATGGTCCCTGAAGTATGCCTGAGAATACCACATCAGGGTATAACATCATACAGGAATGCTATGGCTCACTGAGCATCCTTTGAAGGGAAATTGGAGTATTAAGCTATACCTTAATTCCATCAGTATGTAGGAATTATCTGCAGGCAGTGCTGTCCAGCCAGCGCTAGATAGGCACAATGTTGCTTCTTCTGAGAAAAGCATCACAGAACCAGATGTGCATTGCAGAAGGCCACCTTACCCCTTTCCATCCAGTTACTACAGCACAACATGTATCTGTCTTACAGGCAACAGATCACTGTGCCCACTGCACTATTCCCTCTGCCGGGATTTACTTCTTTATTTAATGAAATACAGAAATACTACAAAAACACTGGAAAGGACCTGTTCCAATGCTCTGTACGAAAAAAAAATATCTGCTTGAAAAGTCTGTAGTCCTTAGCAAACTAATAATGTTGAATCATAAAACAGATGGTGCTTAAAGAGCTATAGAATTGGTGAACTTAAGCTCCAATTCATGTGATTATGGCGTTAAAGATCCAACCCATGTGATTATGGAACAACACAATCACAAGGCTTGGAAATTCTCAGCTTCTTGCAAACTCAGGTTTTCCATTTGCAAGGTCATATTATATCGATGTATCAAGATGCGTCAGGGCAAGCACTTCATTGGGAGCTACCTGCCAACGTGGAGCACTGAAGACAGGGTTTGGTAGGGTTTTCTGGCAGTGTGCCTCCCTGTGCACCTCAGGCACATGACTGCTCCTCAACATTTCCATGTCCCAAAGTACTTTATTCATCACTCAGCAGTGCTTCAAAGCTCTCTGAAATAGGAAGCGTGTGTTGGTCGTGATTCAGTAAGTACTTAAAGCACCTGGGGGGTGATGTTTCTGTATTTTAAAGCTATTTACTTAAAAGCAGAAGGCATCCTACTCTATTTTGTTTCACCCAGAAGGAAATACTTCACTTAAGGAAAACAAGGAGTGTTCAGAAGATGAACTGTATGTTTAACAAGTCTTAAAAAATCAGTAGCATACTCACATGGGAAGTCATCCACAAACATAGGGTCTATGTTATGTAGCAGTTCCACTCTGGGGGAAGGTCTTCCTTCACTAGGAGAAATTTCAAAAGGAAATGTTAATTTCCTTCCACAGCTCATTAGGATTCTGCATGTTTTATTTTAAGGTTTTTTGTCATCCTAATACAGAATGAGCTTGTAACTACAAACTAATTGCTATCAACTTAAATCTGAATGCTCTTTTCCAGCCTAGTAGCAACAGCTTTTACCCCATCAGCCTTCCCTGACTTCACTGGTGTTTACTGAGATTATTCATAAGTTTACAGAGTACAGAATTGGCCCTACCAAAGCAAGGTTTTACAATAATCAACTTTAAAAATCAAATTTCGCAGCATAAGCTGGCATCACTCTTGCTATGCTCTCTGCATACCTGAATGAGTGCTGAAAGCATTTTGGCTGGGTGCCTTAAAAAACACTAGAGGCACTGGCTACCCTTCAAAAACCCCACATTTGATTTGTAATTGAGGTCACAAGGATGATTTAGATATCCTAAACCTTCTTGTGGGAAAAAAAAAAAAATCATCCCTCGTTTTCTAGCCATTGGCTACATAGGGATGGTGTGGAATAAGCCTCTGAACTTACCCATAATTTTTCTGAGTTGAGTAAATCCCAGTCCTAAAAAACTGAGTAAAAGGAATTTCTCCTTATAAATGGCAATATGAGTAGGAAGACATAATTAGAAAGAACCTTGGCTACATCATGCCACAACAATATTTTATTATTTGACAGTGAACCTAAACCCACATCTTTTTAGAAACTTCTGAATAACTTAAATTGTTTTCTTTTTGTTAAGGAGCTTCATTTGAGACTCAAAAATTCAACCAGGGCCCCTAAACCAGTCGACATTAAGAATAAAAAAATCAGGTAATATAAAAGTCAGTGGAAGCCTCAAAAATGACTGTTATTTTAATATATAAAATATATAATTAAACAATATTTACGTGTAATTTAAAATTTCCAGTAACAACTAATTAAAATTAATATTGTTCCATTCCATTTCTAAAACCATTTCTAGATGCTAAATATTTTGAATAAGTACAAAATTAACAGGGAGGACTGGATGAAAGATTAAATGTGTTAAGATAATACAGCCTTGTAATTAATACAGAGGAAGTACAACAATGAACGTAGACTGTTAGTAATTCAGTGTATAAAAACTGCCACAAAATGTTTTTCCCAAAATGTATGTGAAAGGTTAACTCCCTCCCACCTCCCCCACCCCCTAATACCTATAGTAGTCACACTCTTAACTGAGGAGTGCCTGGCCTTATTTAACCAAATTTTATCTTAGATTTAATAGACTCTTACTGTCTCTAGGTGCTCCAATTATAGCTGTGGTCAAGTGTTCCTTTTGCCATCTGTTCATAGGTAACAGTAACATGAACCAGTTAGCACAAGTTAAAATTAGGATGCTAATTTATAGCATGTAAAGGACTCTGCAGTAACTGCTTCGGGAGATATTCTTATTTTGCAGTTTCTGAGTTGTATCTATATTTTTCAGTATCCTTTTAAAAGAAAGCAAACACTAGTTATGCTAAGTAATCTAGTACCTTCCACCAGGGTCAAATACAGAATAAAGAAGTAACTTACTCCTATATGCTTCTCCTGTTTATACATCCAATATTCATACAGTACCACAGTAGGTAGAAAGTCAGAACCGAGGATATTCATGCCGTTCAAGCAAACTAGTATTACTATCATGTCATTAAAGGTGATTTCCTTTATGGCTTTTAATCTAGAGCGTGGACACTGTCCACTAAACATGGCTATGAATGTTACTGCACAGCTGGTAGAACACAAACAATAAAGATTACACCTGCAGGAATTTAAGTTTTTCATGCTGCAGTTGTCATTTTTATTGAATCAATTTTTTTCTGGGATAGAATATTGGTATTAGTAACTTGGAAATGTGATTTATATATAATCATGAGATACACTCCCTGAAGCTTATGGCATTACTGCAGTAAGCTCTGTAGCACTATTAACTGGTATTGAACTGTTTGTTCAGTTTGGGTGTTATTCCAGTAGTTGTGATGCACACAACATGGAGGTTTATAACCAGCATACATTATTCACAAAACAATAGCCAGAGAAAAGAAGATGGCATTGTACATTGAAGAAAGTGGCTGGCTGACAGAAAAGGACACCAGGAAAACAGAAACAAGGTCCTGGGGACAAGAAGTAGAGAATTTATGCTTGTAGCAGGAGGTCCTTTTCCCTGTGCCTAAATCTGTCCTCCTTCCCATTTATGGAGCTCCATGCTGACCTTAGTCCCCTCAAAAGACACATCCTGAACAACAAATTCGTATTTTGCATCAGGAATACGGTCTAGGCAACAGAGCTAGAATAAGAAAGCAGTAAGATTCTCTAGGGAATCCTGCCTTCATATTTTAGTAGCTTCCAGTGTAACCATATCTTACAATGCTCTATTTTAGAGTACTTGCTTTTAGACTCCAATATTCTAACACATCGCTCCTCTCCCTAAAAATAAGGAACTTTTTCTTTTGTCTAGCTATTATTCTACCTTGTCTGACTATTTAATTAAGCAGTTAAAAGGTACTGTTTTCCAAAAAAGTCCTCTATCTAAGAGCATCTTAATGAAAGCATACAGACTAACTTCAAAGCTGGTATGAGAATCAACTAGTTTATGCTGAGAATGTTACTCTATCTTCTACTTTGCAAAGTTTTTAAAACATAAAGATCTATTACTCCTTACTCCTTAGTGAACATGAACAAATATCGACATATGATCTTTCACTTTTGTTGTTGTTGTTGTTAAGTAGGCAGAAGGTGTCCTTGGGAAGCAATCCAAGGTTTTTCAGGGCAAATATGTTTATCTTGCTCAAAAACATCCTCAGTGTCACTCAGAAAAATCTGAGCCTTTATAACCTTCCCATATATTATATTTCTCTGGGTCATATCTGTACATGCTTTCTTAGAGTAATTATATTTCAGATATGCTGGGAATAAACATTACTCTCAGCGTTACATTGCTCTTTCTTCAGCATTAATTTATACCACAACAATGAAATTTTTTTTTCAAACAGGTGTTTAATTCCTAAAATGAATGTAGCCATTTGGGACACAAGAATTCAAGCTCATCTTGCTTCATTTACTTCACCCAATCAATTCTGATATTTCCAACATTACAAAAATACAAAACTGAAACTTGCCCTGTGAAATGTATGAGTAAAATTGGAAAACCTATGCTTGCTAACAAGCTTTTAAGAAATACTACTTATTTTGACTGCATTTTATCCTGAATCTTTCAGTGCCTACCATACTGCTTCATGTACTCTATCATTTGGTCTTCCACTTTTCTGCTAATGCAAAATAAACTCCTTTTTCTAAGCATAGACATACTAGATATTCAGTACTGAAAACCAAAATATATCAAAACAATGTATGAACCAGTGCAAGTTTCTACATAGGGAAAATTATTTTGCCTAGTGTCTTGATTTCAATAGAGTAGCAAGCATCTGGAGAACAGATGTTTTTTAGAAACACAAGTGGCTTCTCAGATACTTGCAGTACAGTTTAGATTCCTTGACTAGTTGCATTTTAGTATTGTTTTTTATCAGTTGTTCTTGGTATTCTCAATTACTGTTTTCGTAAAACATATTAGTGATATTATCGTTGTGTTTTCAGAAATAATTTCTAATATGTACATGGTTTTAGAGGTTCCAGCTATACTGTTGTGTTACCCCTGGCAATCTGAGGTATTAGAAAAGTGCAACCTACTATGATTTATATAGAAGGTTTATAGCTGAGATCGGAACCGTCTGATGGATATCCAAAAATGGGTTAATACAGTAAACTCGGTTTCATGCATTGTATGAAAGAAACTTAAAGTATAGCTAGCTAAAAAGAATGCCAAAGAAGATACTTTTGTCCACAAGAAACATGTGCTCCTGCACTTCAGCTTTTCATGCCATTTGCTCCTGACCATTAACTTTATTCTGGTTATTCAAGTCAAAATTAAGTAGAGGAGGCATGAAATGAACACGTGGAAACACGTGTGGTTTTCAGCACTGCTATTTACTACTAGAACTTATGTTAATGCAATTCCTAATTTGGACTGCCAATCATCTTAAAATCATGACAGAAAGTTCACATGGGTCTAGGATTTTAGAATTTATACTTACAATTTCAAAATTTGTATCTAATTTCTATATTATTTATATCATTATCTATATTTAAAATTATACATTAATATGTAGTTATTTTCAGTATTATATTATTTATATTTATTAAATCAATATCATATTAAGAACATGTCCTTTAAATACTGATCATTTATAGGCAGATACTGGAATGGATCCAATATTTTTGTAACTTCTGAGAGTATCTGCATTGCCCATATATTCTTTTGAATGTCTAAATCAAGGTTCCAAATTTATAACCTTTTTCCTTTTGATTACAGACATGTGAAACAGTAGGCTCAGGATTAAAGTCCACCAAAAAAAAAAAAAAAAAAAATCACAGGAAGCATGTGCAGCTATTTGTATTAGACTGGAATGAAAAAAAATACAGATGTAACACAGTGATTGGCTATTAATTTTCCTTTTTCAAATTAGGTAGAATCTTAGCAAATTATAATTTCACTCATTATGAGCCATCTAGTCCAAGAAACGCAACATATTTGAACTTTTCCATCAGATGTCACCAAAAGGGCACTGTGCCTTCATTGTTTGCTATCCAATATTCAAGTGACCTTTTGAGTTATGATTGTGAAATTTAATACACTCATTTTTCCTTATTACATGGGAAAATCATGTGAAATTTGACATTTTGGCTGCAAGGTCAGCCAAAGAGCAGCCTATCATTTCACAAAAACTGACTTTTTTCCTCTCCAGACAGAGGCCCTCCAGTTGGCACAACTAAAAATATTGGAGGTCATCTATTCCTTAGCAGTGCTAGTAAACATTGAATTCAGCCCCTCCACAAAGAGATTAAGACTGAAGTGCCAGTAGTGTGCAGGGGATGCACAGCTGTACCTATTGTTCCCTACATATAATTTTCCTTCTGAAGTAACCTGATCCGAAAAGATCAGTCCATGACAAATAATACCTGGTTGAAACTAAACCTGAAGGTGCCAGGAATTCTGGTGGTAGCTGGAAGAAAAGCCTATGATTTAGGAGTACCCCAGGATCTTGCTGATGCTAAGTTTGCCCACAGTAACACTAGCATTTAAAGCATTTTACTTCCTCTAGCTGGACAGGAGTCTCTATTCCTTCCTGGCAGTTAATGGTCCCTGGCCTCAATTATGCACATCCTTATCTTCTTTCACTTGGAAAAGAGCCATGCAGTACACCTGGGCACAAGGCCATGAGATCTCCACAAACTCCAGCTAGTACAGAAAACTACCCCATAGCACTAAGAAGTCAAGCTTAGCTGTTTCAAAACAGGTAATCCTACTAAAGGTACAAACAAAACAATTCTGAACTCAAGATATGGGGGGTTTGGTTTTGGGGGCGGGGGTGGTTTGGTTTTGTTTTTCACTTCAAGGTCTATATCGGGCTAACCAGGGACAGGTAGATGGGTTCAACTGTGCCTGCTTTAACTCTCAATTTCTCCTCTCAATCCCTAACCCAAACAACACTCCTGTTCGTGCTTGTTTAGGAGCTAACTCCTGTAATTCACATTCTAGGATGCAAAACCACACAAAAACCAGTGTTTATCATAATGCACTATGTAGAAAATTGCAGCAAATTCAGCAATTGCTACATAAATAGCTACATTTCTCCTGCAAGCTGGGGTGGGAACAGTGAGAAGCGGACAAAAGGTTATAATAGACATAATATTATGTTGTCTGACTGCTATTAAAACAGAACAAAGACTATCAAAAAACCCAAAACACTAATTCTCAAATGAATGGCATGTAGGAAATAGAATTGCTAGTCTTTTTGTTCTGTTTTAGCAGTATTAAAATTTCCATCCTAAATGACCTAAAACAATATTCAAAGACCTACTAAAATAAATATAACTTCTAAGAACATAGACAATAGGACTTAGCCCCATCAATGAATACATTACATGCAGCACAAAAGACGAATAAACAAAGGAATTTAAACTAATGTCACCATGCAATTTTTGCAAAACTAAGGGTTGGTCACAGAAGTTTAAATTTCTGCAGACATTCAGGTTTTAAAGACATTGTAATCCATTTTAGTAGAATAAAAGAACATTAGAATAAAAGAAAAGCTTTGAAAGATGAAGGACTGACTGAGTGTGTCTTGATTGAAGATATCACAGAGGAGCAACACCAGAGTTTCTTTTGATAGTTTGTTCCACTGAAAATATCACCTTTACCAGTTAATGCCCATTTCATTTATTCTTTTACATTCTATTCTACTTACTCTGCTGCGCCCAAAGCTCCAGTAATAAGCACATACATATTCAGATGTGCCCAGAGCCCCCAATAACCCGCATTTCTGATATCATTTTTATTATTCTTTTCCAGAGGAAAACTGTATGGGATTTAACTCATTTTTTAATGCACAGAAGACTCTCCCTTATCTGAAATAATGGGGGGGGTCTGGGATATCCCAGTTAATCCAGACAGCATGAGAGGTGCACGGAGTGAGAGAGAGCCCACCAAAAGTCATTAGCTTGGTCTCAGTGTCAACCCAACTGGAGCTAAGCTGCCTCTTTTTTCCAGCCATCTAAGCATGTCCACACTGTGCTCCTGAGTGCTCCAGCTTGCTTAAATCAGGCACAACATCACAACCTCTCAGAAACCAAGTCAGGTCTATTTTTGTACTCAACCTCACCGGCTTTTTGAGACACTGGTCAGCATGATACGGACCTACTCAAATGGTTACACTTTGAGCCAGCCTGACAGGTCCTGGACTGAGCTAACAAACCATCAAAGTGGCATCCATGCTCGGCGAGTTTAATGTCTGCATAGATTTCCCACATGTCCAATTTGAGATTGGACACCCAAGTGGGCTCTGTAGAGAGCATGGCCGGGTCCATAAAGTTTACTAACTTGGACTTTATGCTGCGCAAAATCAGTTAACGTGCTTCTGGATCACAGAGCGTTCTTGAAAAAGTATACCATGCATTGCTGTGTCCACACTGATAAATTCAACGTACCAAGTTAAAGCCATATGGAGGTTTTGCATTTGTGACGAGGATTAATTTGGATAATTCTCTCATGGATAGTAAAGCACTTATACACTCCCTTTATTTAGGGAAAGGAACATGTAATATTTCCCCCCTCCTGTTCCAGCTCTGTTTTCTGGGCTGATTAAATCCTTCTCATACCACAATGCTGACTCTGTGATTTGACATGCAATTTACCTGATAGCTTTCCAAACATCAAAGCCATCCAAAGGCTTAGTGCCATTAGTATGTCCTCCAGCAAGGTGCACCAGCGTTGGTAGCCAGTCAGAGATATGGATAAGTGCATGACTCTCTACACCTTTTTGTTTCAGCAAAGGACTTGCAACAAAGCCTACTCCTCTCACTCCTCCTTCCCAGAGGGTCCATTTTCTTCCTCTCAGGGGCCAGTTATTCCCACCTGCCAAAGTCTGTCCTCCATTATCTGGAAAATATGTAATTAAAAGGAATTATTGGTATGAAAGAAACAGAACAATCCTCCCCACAATAGTTATTCATCCATTTGAAAAAATATTTTCACAATACGGGCATGTCATGCAAGTACTTGCATAGCACTGTTAAGTGTTCACACAACATGTTGCATGTTCAGAGCACGTAACAAACATATGTTAATTCTTGCCAGAGTCTTACAAATTACTACAACGAAAAGTAACTGCTAGGCAGAAATGATACCATACTACAAGCAAACGATTTCAAAAGACTTTAAGAGCAATGTCGACATTGATTCTAATTATCAATAGACATCCAAAGCTCCCAGAATCAAAGACCTTAAAAATTTAGTTCCAACTGCTTTACAAACCACAAGAAGAGTTGCTATCAATGCCATCATTAGTACTGAGAATACACTGTTTTCCAAAGCAGTATGGTATACTTAAAACAGAAAACTGTTATTCCAGCGTCAGGACAATACCCATACTCCTAGTTTAGAACCATTTTTTTCCTAGATTTTTAGGCAGCCACACTGATTTGTAATGTCACACAAAGCAGACAGTTTCTCAGGCAGGAGGAGAGAGCCCTTACAAAATGAGTTGAAGCTAGTTAAAATAGTTGAAGTGATTTGGAAATATACTGAATTTATTGTGTTTGGTGAGAACAACACATAAGATGGTTACAGAAAAGGTTGAAATGTGACTACAGTAACTCAGAAATACTTACATCAACTAGAGATAGCTCATGAAACTCTGTTTTTAAATGTCTCTGACCAAGATTCCACACTCAGAATAAAATCCAGATCCCTGAAGTTAACAGAATTAATGATTCTTTGAAGTTACTTTTAGTATTACTGTAGAGTTGTTCTTGTTCAAACCCATTGTAATGATCTTGGAAGAGTCATTGGTGGCAATTCTTTTAAGCATAATTTTTCTGTATTTTAATGAGGTTAAAATTATTTCAAATAGTAGTTGTTGAACTGACACTCAGTGTAATTTAATGTATTTATATTGTATTTTCTGATTAAAAACTGGGAATTTGAGGGAAGAAAAAAGTATACATCAAACACCTTACAGACGAACTGTAGCCACAATACAACAAAATTATCTCCCTTCTGTTTCATTAATTAGGGATCACTGTAAACCCCCACTGTGAACACCTTTCTAGTGCACACAGAAGACCCTTTCTTTTCTACTAAGTAATAACCTAGTGCATGTCTCTGTGAAGACTTTAAAAGGTGGAAGCCTAAGCTAAATGAAGCACTTGGAAAAAACAGCGTGATTTGAAAAGTGTAGGCCCAAATAGCTGCCAGTAGGGCTGCTTGTGTGTCCAGCACTCTTGGGATAAAAATAAATAAATAGTTTTATTGTCTTCAATATGAAATGCAGGCAACCAAATACTACCTACCAATGTTTCTCACAGAACAATATTGAGCACTGAGACCTGAGAATGTAAGCAGTTGCCGGTTACAGGGAAAAAAAAAAAAAAAAAAATCAGTTTCAACAATTCCTTCTACTCATATTGTCAACAGGAATTCCTGTCAGGGATACTCACGGGACAGAGCTTTCAGTAGCTTTTAACCTTTGGTGGCCTTAGAATAAAATGTATCTTATCTACACTACATTAGAGCACAATTTAGTCATACAGTGGGATCAAATCTTAAGTATGTTAAATATCTTCTTCGTAGCACAGGCTACTTACTGTCCCTATCAGTTTAATACTAGCACATAAAATTTTGGGAGAGTCCTGAATATCAGCAACAAAGTAGCAAGGAAATTATGTAAGTAGACTGTCTTTTTGAAAAATAGACAGAGAAAAGTGTGGATTTCCTGGGTTACAGTCAAATCTGTATTATACTTACTTTTTCTTTGCTTTCTGTAGTTGAGTTGAAGACATTCACTTTGTGCCAGTTTCATTATACAATAAATTCCCTGAGACAAGTAGTCCATCTAACAGATACCCTGTAAAAACTTTGTGTGATATAAGCATTCACACATGGTACACTAAGTTTAAAAAAAGGGGAGAACAAAAGTTCTTGTTTTGATAGCTTATCTGATATGTGAATGAAAAAACTCGATGTATGAAACAAGGTTCATCCCACTCATTTTGACTTCTCATTTTCACATTGCTAGAACATTAACATTTCCTCCTCCCTCAGGAACTCATGTTCAAGAGACCCTTTCTGCTTAGTTTCTTGACTATGAAGAAAGTGTTGAAGGAGGGAAAAGGATGGTTTCTGGTTTGATTACTAAAGTTTGTTTCCATTCTAGGTAGGCAGAACAGAGCTATTGTATCACTAGCAGTTTATACGTAAGTGATACCATTTTTCAAAGCCATAGAGAACTACTTCCATATGGTCTGAAACATTATCTAGGACTTCAAATATCAACAATTTGTTAAAGAGGAGCAAGTTACATAATAATGAAAGATCATAATAGAGTCTGTACTGACGAAATATTAAGCCAACCACTAAATAATAAAGGTGGGGGAGGGAATAAACAAGAAGCCGCTGATGCATAAGGTATAGACATGGCAGAAAGGCAGACATGAACAACCACTACCAGACTGTAAATGGAGTTCCAGTCACTCTAACCTATGAGGGTATGTCTAGACAGCAAGAGACAGAATGGGTACCTGCTGTGTGTGTGTTCAGATAACTTTTCCATAAGATACTGCTGTGGATATATACAATTGATGCTAAAAGCTTCATGGGTTCAGAAAGCCATGGGAGAAGTTAAAGATGAAAAAATAATTGATAGTTCTTACATGAAAAGACATCACCTCTGTCTCAGGAATTTCTTCAGCCACAAACTGCTGAAGATTTGAAAGTTTTCACAAAATTTTTGGTGAAAGACACAAACAGTGAGAGTCCCAATACTCTTTCCTAGGCATGTGTTACCAGGCATTGCCATAGCCAGGGAACGCTTGGCTAGATGGATCCCTCATCTGTGGAAGTACAGCCATTCTCATGTTCTCCCAAATAAGCTATTCCTTACTAACTCCTCATGCTATTTTAGCAAAGTATTCTTGAATATAGAACAAATGCCAAAGTCCATATGGAAACTCCCAGTAGTTTAAAATGCATACTTAATATCCACTTAGGTAAGAGACAAATAGGATCATTGTTGCTTCATGTTCTACACTGGCTTCATATCCAATTCTAAATCCACTTCAAAACAATATTTCCTGAATTATTTATCATCCATTTTTGCAACTGTTTCTCTCCATGACTCATCCTAATACCTAATCTCAGCAGACAGTCTCCAGAGCAAAGCTTTTGGAATCAAGATACCTACAACTAGAAGCCCTGGTTTGTAACATTTCTTATTAGTAAAGCTTCTGCCTTGCGACTTCAGCTAAAAACACGAGATTCCGCCAAGCATGATACTTCAATTACCTCCTTCCTGGAGACAAACATCAAACATGATTTTCATTAAAAATACTAATGAAGTAGTCTGGAAAACATAGTGAGCATATTTTTCCTATCTGTAAGAATCATTTCTGTAATTACATCTATATAATTTAGACTTCAGTAGTACCCATAACATATTATGTGCATTAGAAAAATCATAAAACAAACCCGCTCTTGTCCCTAAAGAAAGGATGAAAGGGGGAAGAATAAGGCTATACTTAGAAGTTATTGTACTTGGCATAAGAGTTACCTAGCTAATTTATTCAGTTTTGTTTGCTTTCTTAAATGGAAGCATCATACATTTTTAAAGAGCTTTGTTGTTTGCTTGGTTTGTCTTGCTTTGATAGATGTTTAGCTACCTTTATTTTCTCACAGTATTTTTATCACTCCCACCATCCGGTGTAATTTTAAGGAGGGGGGTACCGAGACTTTTTTCTCCCTTCTGATGGAATTTTCTTCAACAAGCTGAAATTTGTGATAATGAAAGAAAACATTGGGGAGAGACATTCTCACTGATACAAGAATGGGCTGAAAGAGAGTTTGTAGCAGGCATTACCACCACCAACAAAAAAATGCACAGAAGGCATATGCAAGGTAAATGGCAAAATGACAGAATAAAGGAGAGAAACAGAAGCATCCTAGCTACTTTAAAAAGTATTTTCAATCGAAGTTCTGCACCCTTGAATTAACATCAGCTTTGTTGACTATGGAGAAGTCTGTATAATGTAGTAATTGTATCATAAACATCAATGACATGCTGCAGTGGCCTGGGAAGACATGTCATTGCTACTATGGAAGAAAAAGCAAAAATCCTAAAAGAAAAGGAAGCATGTTGACAGTTGTAAGCACTGGGGAAGGAGCCTGCAATGGTTAGATATGAGGGAACCATGTAATCACAGACAGAACAGTTTCTTAAGGGCAATAAATATTTCTGAGGGTCAGGAATTGGTCAAAAGAGTCCCTAGGTACAAAAGCCAGGCTCATCACTAATATTATCATACTCTGCCAATTACATGACTCATGTGAGTAGCATAAATCTCTTTTGTGTTGTTCTTCAGCATCCAAGGAGTAGGAATCTGATAGGATCTGAATGTATCTTCAAAAAAAAAAAAAAATTGCCACACTGAGTAATTTGATTGGAACTGATGCTAACAAAATCAGTAGTTCTAAACCCCCCACAAAACCAATGCAGTGCTTCCAAACCCAAAACACCACCGCATTTTATGTTAGTTTCTCCATATGAGTGTATCTGTGAGACATGCATCCTGATAAAATAGATTGATATAAAGCTCTCCAGATGGAAAAACTTTTGTCTACAAAATAGTCATGCACAGTACCCTAACCCCTTGAATACTTTTTAAAGTGCTGGTAAAGTTGATCCTCAGTAAATACCATGCATTGCTATGGCAAAAATAAAATTTTGAAGCAAGAACTTCTGTCTTCTGTTTTGATTAAAATATCTGCAAAAAAAATCAAATGTTTTTCTTCTAACTCCAGCAACTACCCAAATATGCCTTCAAGAAAAAAATAATTTCTTATAGGACTATTTCTACATTCTTTCACTCCAATACACCTATTTACAT